AAAAAAAGTCTGTCCATATCAGGTCAATTGGTAATATACTGTAATTAACATAATATTAGAAAATCCCTATAAAGAAGAGGACTAGAAAACAAGTGCAGGGGGAGAATAGTGTATACATGTGTTCCTTGACCATTTATTAAGCTGACACTATTCAAACATGATTGGATAAAACTGAAGAAATAACTGGGTGACAGGAAGGCTATACCCTGAGGGGGCAGGGGGAGCGGCTTTCCTAAATTAGAAATCAGGAAATTTATTTTTGCTTATAGAGATTTTTAAAAATACAATAAAAATTGTTCAAAGGATATATAGTCACTTGCTCTCATTTGAGTGGGAGGGATATTACATTTTTCTTTTCATTCAGAGTTAATTCTTATATCAAGAATTAAATTTAGGGTTGGGATTGTGAGGCGCTGGGGGTTTGATCCTCAGCACTATATAAAAGTAAATAAATAAAAATAATGGCATTGTATACAACTAAAAAAGAAATAAATATTAAAAAAGAATTATATTTGGGGTGTGTAATACCTTCTATATGAAAATAATGTTCCCTGTATAAAAGAAGTCAAAACCTACACAACAAAAATATTTTGAATTAAGAGTTCCCATAAAAAGAATGATTTCTGATATAAATTATATATAAGGTTCAATGAATCCTCATTATATTTCAGTATGATATGATGATAAGAATAAAAAATGAAGATGATAAGAAGGAAGATAAGATTGCTTGAATTTATGATTATATATTTCTTTGAAAATTCTGCAGTATCATCCAAAAGAGATTTATAAGTAGTAAGATATTTTAGAAAGTTTCTGAACTGTATTGAGCTAGTTGCATTTCAATAGACCTAAAACAACAGTTAAAAGTGCCATTTTATAATTATTTGCTTAATTAATATTCATTCAATATATCTAAAAATTAACAAAAAAAAGGTGTAACATTTTTACTGAGGCAAGTGTAAAACTTGATTGGTAACTATCAAATAAGTGGAGAGAGAGATTTTGTTCACTGATTCTGACTTAAGAATTCATCAATTCAAACAATTTCATGCAGAAATAATAGACTTTTTCCATGAGGCATGTAAAGTTGAATGAAAATTATATGAAAGAAATATTATAATAATTAAGACTTTAATAAATAAGTTAAATGGGGGCAGTCTTGACTTACTCAATATTACGAGTTAAACATTATATTAATTAAAAGAAAAGAAATAATGATAAATGAAAGATAAGAGAGAACCTTGAAACACCCATACACAAATCCAAGAATAAAAAAAAACAGATAATAGGGCTGATTTAAAAATCGACCTGGAAACCATATACTATTTAGTAAGCATTACCAAGAAACCTCATTAACTTTATTTAAA